GGGGGGCTCTGCGGGGGTGGGGTGGCTCAGCCCGAGCAGACACGTAGCCTGCGACGCTGGGCTTTTTGCAAAAGGCTACGGAGGAATCACGCGAACAAATGAACACTAACCTGATTACCACTGGCCCTCAAAATAGAAGTTTGTTTTTTAACAAAATGGAAACAATGATTCTAGACTTATTTTTAGCAAGCAAAAACGTAAAGTTTTGTAAAATTGTAACCCGAATTGTGACAGACCTACAGAGATTTGGTTCACTGTTCTTTGGACTTGGAAGTCAATTCCTCATACATGTTTCTATCTTATTTTATTTTTAAAAATTTTTTTTTATTGATTTCAGAGAGGAAGAGAGAGACAAAAACCTCAATAAATGAGAGAGAATCACTAATCGGCTGCCTCTTGCATACACACCCCAACCCCACTAGGATGGAGCCCGCAACCTGGGCATGTGCCCTCCACTGGAATCTAACCCGGGACCCTTCAGTCCTCAGGCCAGCGCTCTAGCCACTGAGCAAACCAGCTAGGGCATATGTTTCTATTTTAAAGTTGAATTGGAATTTCCAAAAGGGGCCTTGAATACTTGAGGTTGGTCCCCGTTTTTTTTTTGTTTGTTTGTTTTTTTCTCAGCAAGATACTCCCAACAGCTACCTATGTTTGTTACGCAAGATGACTAATTTTTTTAAAGTTGTGGGTTATGAATTATTTTATTTTTAAAAAGAAACTTAAGTCAACATCTGAGTCTCAGGATTTTTCTTGTGTAAAATTCCTGACTTCAACCTGATTATTTGAGCAAACAGGTTGTGCAACCGGCCCAGGGCGGGGCAGGTGTTCCGGGACTTCTCCCCCAGTGAGTGACTCTCCAGGTGACTTGGCCGCAGGTGTCTCTCTGACACCCGGGGTGGCCGCCAGGTCCTCCGCCTCCAGAATGGAGAGCCAGGGGAGGCAGCGAATTGTGAAAAGCTCAATTACTCAACTAATGTTGCATGCACATAGATACTGTTTATCATATTTAAAGCTCCAAACTGACCATTAAAAATGTGTCAGATTACATCTGCAGGCTCTCAGCAAAGAAAAACAATTATGGTATTTCTCTTCCTCCCTCCCCATGTAACTCAAGATTAAATACGAGACTAAACTATAAAATAAATGTTAGGAAGTCCAAAAAACTTCTTACCCCCCTCTCTCCCGTGTGACTGACAGCTTCAATGCTTTAAGCAAATTATCACTTGTTTCTTTTCTTCCCGGTGCTCTGGCTTTATTGATGCTCTAAGCCAGTGGTTCTCAACCTTCTGGCCCTTTAAATATAGTTCCTCATGTTGTGACCCAACCATAAAATTATTTTCGTTGCTACTTCATAACTGTTATGTTGCTACTGTTATGAATCGTAATGTAAATATCTGATATGCAGGATGGTCTTAGGCGACCCCTGTGAAAGGGTCATTCGACCGCCAAAGGGGTCTCGACCCACAGGTTGAGAACTGCTGCTCTAAGCAGATGTTTGGTGTGCCTATCATGATTTTACCTCTGCCCTATGACACAGGAATGTACGGAATGATGATTGTTGTTGTTGTTTTTTTTTTTTACTTCTCACTAATCTGACCTATTTTGCAATAAGACTCTTGCCCTTTCACCTACAAATGCCTCCATCTCCCCCGCCCCTCTTTTTTTTTTTTTTTAACTTGTGAGTCACTTGTCCTCTTTAAGGATGAGCAATGTCCTTTTGCTTTTCTGTTACATCACAGGGGATGAAGCCCCAAATTCTGAATCTACAACTCTCATCTTCATGAGTCTGTGAGAAGGTGGAGCTGGTGGCAAGAATGGTACCTAAGTCCTCAGGGTGATTTTGATAGTCTCTAGAACAGCGATTTTCAGCCTTTTCATCTCATGGTACATGTACACTGATTACTAAAATTCTGTGGCACACCAAAAAAAATTTATATTTTTTGCCAATCCGACAAAAAAAAAAGAGGTATAATTTTGATTCATTCATACTGGACGGCTATTGTGTGGCTGTTGTCATTTTTTAAAATCATTTCTATCCACCCCATGCTAATCTAGGGACCATCATCTGGTCTGCTGGCTAATATAATTCACTTTGTTGTTGTTGTTGTTAATCCTCACCTGAGGATATTTTTTCCATTGATTTTTAGAAAGAGTGGAAAGGAGGGAAGGAAGTTGTGGCCCCTTTCATCCACACCTACAGTTTTATGACTAAGCAGCAGCTAGTCAAGACTAGATAGATCCCAGGGGCATGACCCAGGCTGGATACCTAATTTCTCTTTGCCTTAGTTCCCTCATCTATAAAATGGAATAAAAATATTCCTTCATGTTCTAGGTAAAGTGTATTTGTGCTAGGGGCAAAAATAGAATATTGGGGACTAGCTATGGTTATGGAAATATTAATCATGCTCTGTTAACCATGATTGCCTTGTATTGGTTAAAGAAAGAACATTCTGCCCTGGCCGGTTTGGCTCGGTGGATAGAGCGTCGGCCTGCAGACCAAAGGGTCCCAGGTTTGATTCCGGTCAAGGGCATGTACCTTGGTTGCAGGCACATCCCCAGTAGGGGGTGTGCAGGAAGCAGCTGATCGATGTTTCTCTCTCGACGATGTTTCTAACTCTCTATCCCTCCCCTTCCTCTCTGTAAAAAATCAAAAAAATATATTTAGAAAAAAGAAAAAAAAAAAAAGAAAGAAAGAAAGAACATTCTGACCTGACTGGGAGTTGTACACCTGGGACCTGGGAGTCAACCTTGAAATGTGGTCCATTCTCATTCAAGAACAACTTTGTTGCCCAAACAACGGAGTCCCACCCCAGCCTCCTACTTCCCCATGTTTATAATTTCTACTTCCCCATGTAATCCTTGTCCTACCCTATATAAGTAGCTGATTTATGGGGGACTGCAGAGCAGAGTTTTTGTGGATGACCTACTGTTCTCCCATACTGCTGTTAATATTGGAATAAACGCTCATATGACTCAACCCTGTCTCTGCTTAATTAGCTCAAGTAGTGACAGGCAGCACGGACCCACTAATTGTCTGGTTACATTTGGGCATTCATTGTACTATTTTTCAACTTTTATGGGGCTTAAAATATTTCAAAATAAAAGGTTGAGGATATTATATAGCAACTAGAGGCCCGGTGCACGAGTTCATGCACTGGTGGGGTCCCTCGGCCTGACCAGTGATCAGGACCAAGTGGCTGTCTCTCCCAGTCCCAATTGGGGCTGGTTGGTTGGGGGGGCGGGGCGGTGAGGTACCACAGGAGGTTGGCCAGCTGAGGGAGGTTGGCTGTGGGAGCACACTGACCACTGGGGGCAACTCCTGCATTGAGCATCTGCCCCCTGGTGGTCAGTGCACAGGCTGACCAGTCGTTTGGTCGCTTAGGCT